AAATTACTCCCCTGCACACGCCACCCCCTCCCCCAACACTGTACTCTTTGGAAGTGAGTCATGAAGCAAAACCCACAGTCAAGGGGGAGGTGGGAATTAAACCTCACTTCCTAGAGAAGGGAGTATCTACATAAATCATCTGGAATTCTTAGGATTTTTCTGCAAGGGAGACATGTCTCTTCTTCCCCATTTGTTTACTTATTCAATCATTTATTTACACCAATATGGGCTCATGGATATTTATTTTATACTTTGGGTTGTAATCCAATAGTATGTTATTTATTTTATTGCTCAAACTTTCCAGATTGGCCATTGGAAACTCTTTCAGATTGGCTCCTGTGTCCCTTTGACATGCCTGATCCTTTTATTTTTTGCGTACTTCATTGCTTTTGGCACTACAAGATGCTCCAGGCTCATCTTGTATGTTCCCTGTCCCAGCTACTTCTCCAAGTGGAATTTTTTTAAAAAGATAAATTCCTGCCTCCTAGTCCCAGAGACTCAGATCTAGTTGGTCTAGAAAGGAACTCAAGAATATGATTCATTATTATTATTGTTAAATGAAATAGCACATGCTTATGGCAAAAAATTCTAACAATGCAAAGGAAATGTATATATTAAAAGTAAGAGTTGGCCAGGAGCAGTGGCTCATGCCTGTAATCCTAGCACTCTGGGAGGCTAAGGAAGGAAGATTACTTGAGGCCAGGAGTTCAAGACTAGCCTGAGCAAGAGCAAGATCCCATCTCTGCAAAAAATAGAAAAATCAGCCAAGTGTAGTGGCCTTTTCCTTCAGTCTCATCTACTCTAGAGGTTGAGGCAGGAGGATCACTTGAGCCCAGGAGTTCAAGGCTGCAATGAGCTATGATGATACCACTGCACTCCAGCCCGGATGACAAAGGGAGACCCTGTGTCAAAAAAAAAAAGTAAGAGTCTATCAGTTTTCCTACCCAAAGGCAACCTATTGCCAGTTTCTTATAAATTCTTTCAGAAATAATCCACACACATTTCTGAATATGCATATATGTAAATATTATCCATATTTTTACAGAAATGACAGTACACCACAATGCTGTTTTGCACTCTTTTGTTTTCACTTAACCACACATCTTGGAGATTGTTACATGATCACAGATTGGCATTATCTTAGTCTGTGCTGCTATAACAAAATAAACGAGACGGTAATTTATAAGTATCAGATACTTATTTTATCACAGTCTGGAGGCTGAGAAGTCTAAGATCAAGGCGCTGCAGAAGTCCAAGGAGCCAGAATGTTCTATGTCTGGTGAGGGCTGCTCTCTACTTCCAAGACAGCACCTTACAGAGGGGAGGAATGCTGTGCTCTTTCATGGTGGGAGAGCAAATCCTCTCCCTCAAGCCCTTTTATTTATTTTTTTAAAAAATAGAACTTGAAGGCCAGGCGCGATGGCTCACGCCTGTAATCCTAGCTCTCTGGGAGGCCGAGGCGGGCGGATTGCTCGAGGTCAGGAGTTCAAAACCAGCCTGAGCAAGAGTGAGACCCCATCTCTACTATAAATACAAAGAAATTAATTGGCCAACTGATATATATATAAAAAATTAGCCGGGCATGGTGGCACAGGCCTGTAGTCCCAGCTACTCAGGAGGCTGAGGCAGTAGGATCGCTTGAGCCCAGGAGTTTGAGGTTGCTGTGAGCTATGCTGATGCCACGGCACTCACTCTAGCCTGGACAACAAAGCGAGACTGTCTCAAAAAAAAAAAACAGAACTCAAGCTTTTAATTTTTTTTAATATATATTTTTAGTATCAGGTGGATTTTATCTTTTAAATTTTTATTTATTTATTTACTTTTTTAAAATTTAGAGACAAGATCTTGCTCTGTCAACCAGGTTGGAGTACAGGGGTGTGATCCTAGCTCACTGCAGCCTTACACTCCTACGTTCGAACACTTCTCCTGCCTTAGCCTCCCAAGTACCCAGGACTAGAGGCACATGCCACTACCCCTGGCTAATTTTTTTTAATTTTTAATTTTAAAAATTCTAGTGAGATAAGGTCTCACTATGTTGCCCAGGCTGATCTCGAACTCTTGGCCTGAAGCAATCCTCCTGCTTCAGCCTCCCAAAGTGCTGGGACTACAGACATGAGCCACATGCCTGGTCTTCAAGGCCTTTTGTAAGGACCCTATTCCCACTCATGAGGGCTCTGCTTTTATGACATCCTAAGGGCCCCACCTCTTTTTCACAGTGGCATACAGCTTCAGTGTATAGCCATGGTGTAACTTATTTAACTTCTTGCTTATTGATAAGTACTTAATTTTTTTTTTTTAAGAGACATGGTCTCACCCTCCTGCCCAGGCTGGAGTGTAGTGATATCATCATAGCTCACTGTAACCTCAAACTCCTAGGGTTAAGCCATTCTCCTGCCGCAGCCTCCCAAAGTGCTGGGATTATAGGCTTTAGCCATAGCACCCAGCATGGTAAACATTTAGATTGTCTCTGGGTTCTGCCGTTACAAACAATGCTGCCATGAACTTCCTGTATACATTTTCACACACGTGTTAGGATATCACTATGCTGAACTCAGCAGTGAAATCACTGGGTCAAAGGAAATATGCCTGTAGCATTTTGATAGATATTGACAAACTGCCATCCAAAAAGATTTGTCAACATATACTCTCATGTGGAGTATCTTTTCTCCATATTATTGAAAATGCAGTCAGTGTACAGTTGATTTTTTTAAATTTTTGACATTCTGATAGGTGAAAAATGGTACCACAATGTTTAAATGTTCATGACTTTATGAGTGATACCAATTATATTTTTATCTGTCTGTAAGTATTTGGGGCAGGGCAAGGTGGCTCACACCTATAATCCTAGTATTTTGGGGAGGTCAAAGTGGGATGATCCCTTGAACCCAGGAGTTTGGGATTGTAGTAAGCTATGATGATGCCACTGCCTTCTAGCTGGGCAACAGAGTAAGACCCTGTCTCAAAAAAAAAAAAAGTTTTTGGAATTTTTATATAACTGAGTGTATAAATAGCCTATTTGAATCTTTTATCCTTTTTCTCTATTGGATTAACAGTCTTTTTCTCATTGATTTGTAAGAGCTCTTTATATATTAAGAAAACAAGTATACCTTGGCCTTCTGTGTTGTACAGATTTTTTCAGAATATGTATTTTAAAAACATTTTCCAGCTGATGACAGCCAGGTTGGGGAACCACTGCTGGGGAATTGTATTTTAATCAGGGTTAAAATGTCTTATGGGTGGGCCACCTCCTGTTGTAGGTAAAGATGACAGCTGCCTACCTTGGTGTCATCTCAGGGAAACAAAATCCCTTTCTGAAATCATCTTGGCTACTTAGTAGACATTCCCAGCATTAAACCCACCTTTGAGGGGTCAGGCAGTGTTACCAGGGAGATTAGCCACACACTGACCCATTATTGTGCAGTAGCAGGACCACCCCTCCCCCCATGTCCCTGGGACTGACTGTGTGCAGTACAGACTAGGGTAACAGAGGGAGACTCTTTTAGCACAATGCCACCAGACATAGCCATGGCCTTGTTAATCAGGCAGAGTGAAAGTTCTCATTGCCCTTTAAGCGCCACATACTTAGGACAGACACGGTGGAGGGCCTCTCCTCCCCTTTTCTGTCTTCCACACCCCAGGTCCTGAAGCCTTGTAATATCAAGATGGAAACAAACAATGCACAGCCCAGCAGAAGAAAGGAACCAAGAGAGGGGCTGTGTGGGGACGGGGGACAGGATAGTATGTCCAGGGGAAAAGGATTTTTTTCCTCTGAAGGGAAGGAGGAAATCCCTCCCTGGACGCCAGGGGGACACATTTAGGCCCCTTGTTAGTGAGAAAACCCCAGGAAGGGCAAGCTGGTGGCAGAGGGGCAGAGGAGCAACTGTAGGCTCCTGGCCTTTCTGTGGTCTCTGTATCATACGGGAACATTTTCAGCTGTGGGTGCTGTGCATGCTTCACGGCCTGACTATAAGACCACCTGCCCTGGCCCCCTGGTTCCATGATGCTTGTGTAGGGAAAGGTTGTGGGATTGGACCCAACTGAGAAATTAGGACACTTCAGATGAAAAGTATAGACCGGTGATTCTCAAAGTGTTGTCCTGGGAGCAGCAGCAGCAGCCCTGGGAACTCATTAGAGATGCAAATTCTGGGACCCCACCCCAGAGTTGCTGAATCGGACACTCTGAGGGAGGCCCGCCAGTCTGTGTTTTAATAAGCCCTTCAGGTGATTCTCAAGCTCCAGTTTGAGAACCACTGCTCCGGACAGGAGCCGCTGGCGTCTGTCACAGCATCCAGACTTAGCAGGATGCAGCCTGTAGGCAAAATGAAGGCAAGACAAGGGGCACTCGCGACATTGTCTCTGAGGTGCAGCATGCAGTGTACAACAGCTTTGTGACCCTGAAACTTCTTTCTGGGTGAGTGTTGCAAATAAGTGTTTTCCTGGGAGAGCTGGCCCCAGAGAGCCGTGTGCATTTACCAGACAGGTTTCTGAACAAGAACTTGTGCAGGAGATTCCAGGGTAGGCCTGGGAGCCAAGCTTATCTACAAATGAGGAATTTTTAAAGATCCACCCCCATCTGCAGAGGTGGAATTTTTAAGGAGTTGCATTGCTGTAGGGATGGCTTGTCAATTTTTCCTGTTTCACCATAAGTAGAGTGAGGGCCTTGTGTGAGCACCCCATGTTGATTCACTTCTCTGGATTTTGGAGTTGAACTTATTGTACTTTAGGGCCTCTGATTTTAACAAATCCCCAAACAATTCCCCCTGGCAAAGTTACAGGGCAAATATAAAAACATACATGTGAATATATATATATAGCTTGAAAATAATTGCAAGCCGGGTCATTATTTCAGCTGTCTCTACCAGTGAATAACCTTAATGAGTATCCTCCTGTGGTTTATTGCCAAGTCACATTTTTTTTTTTTTTTTTTTTTTTTTTGCAAATAAGACTTTGCATCTTTGGAAGGGATTAAGTTTCCTCTAAATGTCTCCCGCGTTCTTTAGGGTTTTGGCCACAGCACAGCCAACAGGAGTCTACTGACGAGACGCTCAGCGCTCTGGCATGCTGGCAGCGTGTCATCCTGACTCAACAGACCTTTGCAGTGACTAGAAAAGATGCAGCGGGCCTAAACATTTTCAGAATTATTTTTAAATTAAATTCCTCCTGTTTTTCTTTCTTCGCTAGAAGTGAAATTCAAAAACTCCAAATACCATAATGATACATTTTTAAAAAAGGATTAAAAAGCCATCTTAGTCCCAGCCTGCTGTCAGGAGGCAAAAGAGGGGTGGTGTGGGTCCTGGATGGGAAGCCTCTGTCCCCAACACGGGCTGAAACCCTGAAGCCTTCTAGCAAGGGGCGGCAGAGGCTGGCCATGCACTGAGCAAGCTGGTCATCTCGGCCAACCACAGTCTGCCCACCGCACGGTCCCCGTGGGAGAACAGACAGCGCAATCCGTCTGCAAGACCGAACAGGTTTCTCTAAGTGTCCTGCTCCAGGCTGAGGGAGGCTGATTCCAAGGACTTGGGGCGCTGGCATTTACACAGGCAGAAGCTGGGCTTCCTAAGGCTCAAGTTTCTCAGACTGATCTGACTTGTTCACGTTCAGGTTCAGGATGCAAACTGAGAGCTCTTGAGAAGCTATGCTTATGTTTTTAGGCCTTCGGCAGTTTTACACACACGTGCACACACACACACACAGAGTCCAAACTTTCTTTCTTCAAAGAGAACCTTGTATTTATATGTTATTTTAACAAGTCTTCTTGGTCTTTCTGCCATGCATTTCTATTTAGCTGTTCCGGAGGTCAAAAAAAGCCAACCACGTGATATTCTGCAGTTAGCGCACACTCTTAACCCAAGGGCTACAGCCCGCCTGAAATTGCATGCCAAATTGTGTGCACGTGCATTTTCCTCCCTAGAGTCAAGAGGACATAGCTTCCATAAAAGGGTCAAAGATGACCTTGGGTGTTTAAAAACCTCAGCCAATTGTTCAAATTTAAATGTCACGACAATGATTAATTTCTGTTACCTGCAGTAGATATTCCAGAAGGACTGTAGCCAAAGTTTCTCACCAATCCCTCTCTGCCCAACACATTGCATCACAGCACACACACATATACCCCAAACCAGACTACTTAAGCCACATTTTTGTTTTCTGAGAAAACAAAACCCTTTTTAATATAGAAAAGTGTTCTGATACTCCAACCATCATCCTAAATTCAGTTGTTAATATTTGTCCTTCGAGGCTTTAAACCTTTTCTTCCCTTTTTTTTAATTGAAAGAAAGGAAGCATTATAGATAAAATGTAAGTCCTCTTGGTTCCCAGTTGAATTCCCCTGTCCAAAAGTAACTATGATGATGAATTTAGCATGCATCGCTTCAGCTCATTGTTTAAAGCTTGTGTGTGTATATAGCTCCAAACAATATGTAGTATTGCTTTTATATCTGTAAATGATATCGTACTGAATGTATTATTCCACAACTTGTTTTCTTCATTTGAAATTGTACTTTTGAAATTTGTCTGTATTGACATATGAAAATCATGTTCATGCTTTACATTTTCTATTTTGTATATTAACATTTAAATGCATCAAATTTTATTTATTCATCGTCAATGGATACTGGGGTTGTTTTTAACATCATGATTTTATAAAAAAAAACTCAGCAATGGATCTCCTTAAACTCATCTCCTTCTATCTTTTTAGAGAGGAGACCTAGAAGTGGAACTGCTGGGCTGTAGGGTGTGTGTACCTTCATATTTAATAAATACTGCCAAGTGGGTCTCCAAGGTGGAGCATATCAACTTTCACTCCTCCAGCAATACCTGAGATTGCATGGATTCTTTCCTCCTAGGCTTAGCTAGGAATGTACCTGGTCTGAGACCTCCTGCCTCCTGTTACTCCTCTATGTTCAGGAAGCTACTTCTCTGAGCATGCAGATGAGAACTCTCCCAATAAAGGCCTCTGGGGGGAATCTTTCCTGAACTTTTTGAATCCTGGACACTCTGGGAACTTGCTGTGGCCTGTGCCTTGGGGTCATGGCCCAGCCAACTATTAAGCTTCTAGTGTTTATTTTCTCCTGACTTGGTAAAACAAGTGGAAATTCTTCCTCTGCTCACACTTTTGTGCTAAACTGACCCAACCTGGGGGCCTGTTACTGAGCAGGGAGCAAGCATCACATTTGTTTGAACTTAGATGACCTAAGGTCAATGTTGCTGCTTGGCTAGTCCATTCATTACTGGAGTGATTATTGAGCAGGGTGAGGGGGTGAGAAGGTAACGAAGACAATACCCATGTAGTAGTTACCACTGCAGGGGTGTGCACTGTAGCTTATCTCAACTAGTGCTGCCAACCTGCCTGTGAAGTCCGTACTACTATTATCCTTATTTTACAGAGCAGGAAACTGAGGCTTTGCATTCAGAAGATCTCACTTGCTCAGGCTTTGCCAGGATTCTAGCCCACATCTCTTTGTCCCCAGACACAATGTTTGAATAGCTGCCTGTGTTTCCATAATGTGTTAGGAGGAGCTGTCTGTGGAGCTGGGGTGAGAGGCCACCTTGGTTAAGGGGATCAGAGAAGAAGGTAGAAAGGAAGTGGCATTTGCATGGGCCTAGAAGGCTGTTTGTATTTTAATGGGAAATGGGGATGGGAAGGGCAGAGGATGCAGGAAGGCACAAGGAGGGAAGGAGCAGGGCAAGTTTGGCGAGTGGTGCATGGCTGGAGTAGAGGAAACTGCAGGAGTGGAGGAGGACATAAACCAGAAAGACAAGTCGGGAGCTGGTCACAAAGGGCCTTGAATGACAGGTGGGGTCACTTAACCCTAGTTCAGTGGCGAGGATGAGTCATCAGAGGCTTGGAGCTGGGGAGTGATGTGAGGAGAGTCAGCAGCAGGAAAGGGAATGAAATTGTGGGAAAGGGCAGGGAAGCTGGGAGGGAGGCTGGCGGTCAGGCTTGCTCAACACCCGTCCCAGCCCACGCTGGTCAGAAAGCTGAAGACTACAGTTCACACACGTCTTTGGAGCTAGAGTTCTGGACAAGGATCCATAGCCCGCATGGATGATACAGAGGCAGCATGGCGCTGGGGTCACTTGCTTCTTGCTTCTGGGCCTTCTGCAGTAGTGATGGTGGCTCTCCAGTTTTTGACAGAGGGAGTAGGAGTGCAAGAATTGGATGTTGTTCCTGGAAGCCCTGCTTCAAATATCTTCTCCAGATCTTTCAGCAGTTTGTAAGCCACTTGAGCCTGAGTTCTGCTCAGACTAGCTTGAGTGGCTGTTTCTGCAAATGAACCTTTAATGAGGACAAGCCATAGCAACAGAGGTAGTAAGGACTTCAACTTGGATGGGAGCCAGGGCTGGGAAGAAGGGGGAATGGATGAGCACATTTTGGAGGTAGAAATGGGCAGGCTGAGGTAGATCTTTGAATGTGGGATGGAGGAAATTGTGAAAGATGAAGGTGTGGTGTCGGAAGTAACACAGACATTAATGGGCACAAACGGTAATTTTGAGAAGTTGCCTTGAGTCTGGAACTTCAGGGAAATTCTAAATTTAAGGAGGTGGGAAGAAGAGTCAGTTATGAATTGATTACCTGTCTAGAAGCCTCCTTGCACTGGAAGTGGAAGCTCCATGAGGACCAGTTTCTTGCCAACTTATTCACCATCATAAACCCTGTGCCTGGCTCAGAGCTTGGCATGTGCTGGCTTCTCAGAACATACTGGTTGAGTAATGAAGTCCGAGATGCAAGAGGAATTATAGGAGGAAAATATTTTTAGAGAAAGGGGGTAGGAAACTGTAGGTGGGATAAAAGAGATTGAGAAGTGAGGAAAAGACTACTGGATATGATAATTGGTGCTGAATAAAATAGAACATTTTCAATGATTTTCTAAAGATAGCTTTTAAAACGTTGAAGTAAACATACATACAGAAAGTGTATATCACACATGTATAGCTTAATGAATTATCTTAAGCAAGTGACGACATTCCAGATCATAGAACAGAATATCCCTGGCATATCCAAAGCCTCCCTCATAACCCTTCTTAGTCATTAACCCTGCAAAGGAAACCACTATCCTGATTCTAACATCATGGATTAGTTTTGCCCATTTTGAACTGTATATGGAGTTAGACAGCATGTATTCACTGATGTCTGGCTTCTTTTGCTCAAAATTATGTTTGTGAAATCCATCCATGTTGTTGCATGTAGCAGTAGTGTATTCATTTTCATTGCTGCATAGTATTCCATAGTAGGAATGTGTCAACTTTACTTATTCTACTATTAATGGACATTTAGTTTCCTTTCTGGTTTTGACTATTAATGAAGCTGCTATGAACAAGTGTATACAAGTGTTTAGTATACCTATGTACACATTTAGTACACATCTGAAAGTGAAATAGCTAGAATATAGGCTATGAACATATTCAACATTAGTGAATACTATCAGTTTTCCAGTGGTTGAATTAATTTATACTACACTTAACAATTATATTTTACAATTTTTCTACATATTCCTCAAAAAGGATTAATGCTTTTTGTGTCCTATTTAAGAAATCCTACCAAAGTCAAAGTTGTTGAGATAGGTTCCCATTTTATCTTTTAGAAGATTTATTGTTTTCTCTTTCACATTTAGATCTATAATGTACGTGGGGTTCGTGTTTGTATACGTTGTGAGGTCAAGATTAATGTTTATTTCATTTGGACATCCAGTTGGCCCGGCCACCGTTGATTTGAAACGGCTCTCCTTTCCCCACTGTTTGGCAGAACCATCTCTTTCCTACATTATGTGTCCACATATGTGCAAGTCTGACTGTAGACTCTCCATTTGGAAATTTTTACTCTGCCATTTACCCAGATCCTATAACTTTTTCCTCTTAGTATTCTTTATTCCTTATTCTAAGAGATAGATATTAAAGATTAGTCATTTATCCAATTTGCAACGCCCACTGAGATTCGTGATGAGTGCTGTGCTGGATTGTTCTACTGGGACCTTTGCTTCCTAGAATTTCTTTCTCAGTATGACTCCAAGGCTGAGTTGGCCAAAAGTGAAGTTGTATGAGATTTAGGAGGCAGAGATGAAGCTGGCACCATTACGATGTAAAGATGCTTATTGGTGAGAGGTGGTGAGATGCAGACACAGACGTGCTGGCAGGTTCCCGCTTGCCCTCATCCTTCCTCACCCAGCCCCAGCTGTCCTTCCTGTCTGCTAGCTCTGCCGACAACAGCAACCCCAGGCTACCCCAGGTGCCCTGCCGTGAACTCCCAGAGGCAGTAGTCATGAATACCCGACAACTCTCCACAGACTGGACATTCCTGGGTACCAGATTTCCCTGCAAGCCAGGGCTGGTTACAGACTTCTCTAATTCATCAGCTCCCCTTTCTAGACTTTTACTTCCCCAGTTCCTCCCCAAATTGTGCAAAGTCCATTTCCTATGATAAATTCCATATCCCATAACTTATAGTGGTTCTGCTTCTGTGAATGAACGTCAGCTGACACACGCATGTTGAAATAGTCAACAAAATGTAAAAGTGGCAAGCCCTAAAACTGCAAGTGGTAAAATTTGCAATTGTGGAAAAGTTGACTGAAGAACTGCCAGATGATATTCTGGGCTGACAACATTGACACTATCATCACACTGTTGACTTTGAATTTAAGATCTCAAAGTTGGCTCATTTACCCTTTTATTCTAGAATCTTTCCTGTGCCCCATCCCTGGCTTCCTTGCATCATTCCCTATGCCCATGTCTATCTTCCCCTCCAGGGTCTAAGCTCATTTAGGGGCTTGTCCTATTCCCTATTGTGTTCCTCTGTGCCAGAGGGCTGTGTGAGACCAGTGCCATAAACATTCAAGGACGGAGCGATTAGTTCTGGCCAGGAGAGCTCACAGAATCCTCCACAGGGTGCTGGCACTTGACCTAGGCCCAAATGTGTGAACAGGATCTCAGTGGACAGGAAGGGAGGGAGGAGTAAGAGCAGGCAACATTTACCTCTGCATTCTGTTCCAAGCACTGTGTGAAGGGCTTTCTGCACTAACTTACTCATTCTCACATCAATTCTGTGAAGCAGACACCATTATATCCTCATCTGATAGGGAAACTGGGAATCGGAGTAACTAGAAAATTAAACCATCATCGCATCCCCCTCCAAATACCCAGGCAAAGACTAGGGATGGGGGTTAGTTTTTCTTAGAATTAAAAAATTTAAGAACCCTTCCTTAAGAGTGGTAATTTCAAAACTCCAGTACAATCCTTGACTGTGTAAGGGAGGCCTGGAAAATGGGAGGAGGTTGTTTGTGAGTGTGTGTGTGTGTGTGTGCATGCACGGGGCAGGGTGGTGATGGTGGTTTTGTGTTGTTTTGTTTTCTCCTGAGAGAAAGAAAAAGAGGCAAGAAGAAAAAGGAAAGAAGGTGGAGTGGTCGTTATGTGACCTGGCAGAAGGCCGCAGAAATGGCTGAGGATGTTTTTAAGAACGTGACCGAGGAGGCCATAAAGGATGGCTAATGTTCACTTTTAAGTTGCCTGATTTTCTGCAAAGTATACCACTCCATCTTTCTG